GAAAAATAATATATTATATACAAGGGAACAATGATTCAAATAACTGCCTATTTCTCATCAGAAACCATAGAGGTTGGAAGACAGAAGTCAGTGCTGAGAAAAAAAGAACTTAACCGAGGACTCTGAATCCACAATCATTCCTGAGGACTTTGGCATTCCTTTCACAGTAATAGATAAAAGAAGTAGACAAAAATCAGCAAGGCTATAGAAGACCGGAAAAACAACGTCAACCAACTTGACCTAATTAGCATTTATAGAACACTTGACCCAACAACAGCATAACACACATTCTTTTCAAGGGCACATGGAACATTCACCAAGAGAGACCATATCCTGGGTCATAAAGCAAACCTTAACAAATTTAAAAGAATTAGAATTATATATAGTATGGTCTCTGTCCATAATGGAATTAAACTACAAGTCAGTGACAGAAAAATACATGGAAAGTTCCTGAATATTTGGAAATTAACCCAATTCCAGCCACCCAGAGTTAAAGAGGATGTCTCAAGGAAAATTAGGAAATATTTTGAGCTAAAAGAAAATCAAAATACAGCATATCAAAAATTGAGGAAGGCAGCTAAAGCCATATGGAGAGGGAAATGTACAGCATTGAGTGATTAAATTAGAAAGCAAAGGATGACTTTAAATCAAGAACTAAGCTTCCACCTTAAGAAACGAAACAAAGAGGAGCGAACTAAACCCAAAGCAATCAGAAGGAAATAATGAGTAGAAATCAGTGAAATGGAAAACAAACACAAGAGAGATCAATGAAACCAAGAGACACTTATTTGAAAAGGTCAACAAAACTTATACATTTCTAAAGAGACTAATTAAAAGAGAGAGAGAGAGAGAGGAAAGTGATTACCAATATAAGAAACAGAAGAGAATATCAGTACAGACTCCTTAGAGCCTGTAAAAGCCTATAAAAGCATAATAAATACTATGAACAACTCTTTGCCTACAAGTTTGACAATGAAATGGATCAATTCCCTGGGGAAAAAAGAAAACAAGCTACCAAAACTTATTTAAGCAGAAAGAGACAACATAAATAGTCCTGAATTTATTGGATAAACTTAATTCATAGTAAGGTCTTCCAACAAAGAAAGCTACAGGCACAGAAGATTTCATGGTGAATTCTATCAAACATTTAAGGAAAAAATAAATCCAATTCCACACAATTCACCCAGAGAATTTAAAAGGAGAAAACACTTCCCAACTAATTTTAGAAGTCTATCAATATCCTGATATCAAAGCCATAAAAATACAGTATAAGAAAACTGGAGACCAATAGATGCAAAATCCTCAAAGTAATTTTAGCAAATTGAATCTGGCTATACATAAAAAGATACTACTTTAAAACTAACTGAGGTTTATCCCAGGAATACAAGGTTGGTTCAATATTCAAAAATTAGCAAAGTAATCCACCATAATAACATACAGGGGAAACAAACATATGATCATATTAATAAATACAGAAATAACATCTGACAAAATTCAAGAGCCATTCATGATAAAATAATTCTCAGCAAACTAGGAGTAGAAGAGAATCTCCTTGAGCTAATAAAGGGCATTACAAAAAAATCTTATAGCTAAATCATACATAATAATAGAAAATTGAGTGACTGCCCTCTAAGATCAAGGACAAGACAAGGATGTCTGATCTCTCTATTTCCCTATTCAGCATCATAGCCAAAGTTCTACCCAGTTCAATAAGGCAAGAAAAAATATTCAAAGGCATACAGTTTTGAAAGAAAGACATACAACTGTTCCAATTTGCAGAAGACATGATTGTCAAGATATAAAAAGCCAAGAAATCTACAAAAAGCTCTTAAACTAGTAAATGGCTTCATTAAGATTTCAGGGCCCGGGAATTTCCTCGCAGCCCAGTGATTAAGACTCGGCACTTTCACTGCCGGGGCCCAGGTTTGATCCCTGGTCTGGGAACTAAAATCCCTCAAGCCATGTGGCCAGACCAAATAAAAAAAATTTCTTTTTAATTTAAAAAATTAAAAAAAAAAGATTGTAGGACCTAAGCCCAAAATATAAAAACCAGTAATAGTTCTGTATACTGGCAATGAATAATTGGGAATTAAATTTCAAAAAAAATTTAAAAACCACTATTACTTACAATAACTCAAAGAAAAACGTGAAACATTTAGGTGTAGATCTAAACAAAATATATACAAGATTTGTATGATAAAATTGTAAAATGCTGATGAAAAAAAGTAAAGAAGGCCTAAATAAATGGAGAGGTATACTACGTTCAGGATTGGAAGACTCAATTTTGTAAAGATGTCGATTTTCCCCAAATGGATCTCTATACTTAATACAATCCTAATCTATACCTCAGCAGCACTGTATAGATATAAACAAGCTGATTTTAATATTTATGTGAGAAGTCAAAGGAATTAGAATAACCAAAACAATTTTACAAAAGAAGACAAATTTGGAGAACTTACACTATATGGTTTTAAGACTTATGATAAAAGTACAGTAGTCAAGATAACGTGGTACTGACAAAATAACAGATATATAGATCAGTGGAACAGAATAAAGAGTTTAGATATAGATCCACACAAATATGGTCGTCTGATTTTTTACAACAGTGTAAATAAAGACAGTTCAATAGAGAAAGGTTATCCAGCAAGGGATTCTGAAAGTAACTGGACACCTATACAAAAAGAAATTAATCTCAACTTATATCTCAAAACTTATATGGAAATTAATTCAAAATGGATCATAGACCTAAATGTAAAACTATACTTTTAGAAGGAAACAGGAGAAAATCCTTGGGAACTTAAAGTAGGCAATATCTATATTTCTTAGATATAAAGAACAAACCACATAAGAAAAATTTGATCTACTGGATATCATCAAAATTTTAAACTTCTGCTCTGGGAAAGACATTGTTAAGAGAATGAAAACATAAGTTATAGACTTGAAGAAAGTATTCATAAATCACATACCCAGTAAAGTTCTTATATCCAGAATACTTAAAGAATTTTCTAAACTCAAAAATAAGAAAACTTTAATTTTTTAAAATGGGCAAAAAATTTGAAAAAAGACTTCACCAAAGAAAATGTACGAATGGCAAACAACCACATGAAATAAGGCTCAACATCATTCATTGATAGGAAAATGCAAATTAAAACAAAATGAGATACCACTATACGCCTATTAGAATATATAGCTAGTGGTAATGTAAAATGGTATGGCCACTCTAGAAAATTTGGCAATTTTTATAAAGTTAAGCTTCCACTTACAACATGACCCAGCAGACTATCCAAGGTATTACCCTAGAGAAATTAAAACTCTTGATCACACAAACACCTGTGCATCAATATTTATAGAAATTATTCATAATTGCCAAAAACTGGAAATAATCAAAACGTCCTTGAATGAGTGACTGGATAAACAAACTCTGTTACAACAATCCAACAGAGTTTTTCTCAGCAATAAAAAAGAATGAGCAAAGGCATTATGCTTAGTGAGAGAAACTGGACTTATAATTATATATACCATATGGCTTCATTTATGTGATATTCCGGAAAAAGCAAAACTATAAGGACAGAGAAAAGATCAGTGGTCACCAGAGGTTAGGGGTGTGTGTTGGGTTTGACCACAAAGTGGAAATGTAGGGGGGACGTTTCAGGTGAGGGAACTGTTGTGTGTGGTAATCATGGCAGTAGTTGTACAACTCTATGAATTTGTCAAAACGCACAAAACCATACACAAGACAAAAATGGAATTTTACTGCATGTAAGTTTTTTAAAAGAAAGCTGGCATGGCTATATTAATATTAGGAAATAAGAGCAGAAATCAATGACATGGAAAACAGAAAAACAATTAAGAATATAAATTTAACCAAAAGCCAGTTCTTTAAAAGGTTAGGAAAACTGATAAACCTCTTGCTAGATTGATCAAGAAAAAAAAAGACATGAACTACAGACATCAAGAGCAACACTTGTTGTTCACTATAGATTTTTACAGACATTAAAAGTATAAAAAGGAAATACGATGAACAACTTTATGCCAGTAAATTCAGAAACATAAAAATTCATTGAAAGATATAAACTGCCTAAGTTGATAACTACTAATTGATAACCCGAATAGCCCCATATCTATTAATGATATTGAATTGGAAGGTGAGGGCTTTCAGATTAAAACTAAATAAAACAAAAACAAACAAACAAAAAACTCCAGGCCTAGCTGGCTTCACTGGTGAAATCTGCCAAAGATTTATAAAAGAAATAAGAACAACTCTACTCAAGCTCTTCTGGAAAACAGAAAAGAAGGAAGCACTTCCCAGTTCATTTAATTATTTTATAATTTTAAAAACACCAGATGGAGGGACTTCCTTGGTGGTGCAGTGGTTAAGAACCCACCTGCCGGGGGCTTCCCTGGTGGCGCAGTGGTTGAGAGTCCGCCTGCCGATGCAGGGGACATGGGTTTGAGCCCTGGTCTGGGAAGATCCCACATGCCACGGAGCAGCTAGGCCCGTGAGCCACAACTACTGAGCCTGCGCGTCTGGAGCCTGTGCTCCGCAACGGGAGAGGCCGCGATAGTGAGGGGCCCGCGCACCGCGATGAAGAGTGGCCCCCACTTGCCACAACTAGAGAAAGCCCTCGCACAGAAACGAAGACCCAACACAGCACCCCACCTGCCAATGCAGGGAACATGGGTACAATCCCTGGTCTGGGAAGATCCCACATGCCACGGAGCAACTAAGCCCATGAGCCACAACTACTGAGCCTGCGCTCTAGAGCCGATGAACCACAACTACTGAAGCCCATGTGCCTAGAGCCCGTGCTCCACAGCAAGAGAAGCCACCACACCGCAACAAAGCGTAGCCCCCGCTCGCTACAACTAGAGAAAGCCCGCGTGCAGCAGCGAAGACCCAACGCAGCCAAACATAAATAATAAATAAATTTATATTAAAAAAAAAGTCAAACATAAAAAAAAAAACCAACCAAATGGAGAGCAGTGCCCTCATTACTTACAAGGCCGCCAAATCAAAATCATTGCCCAAGAACTCCTCCAGCAGACTTGTATCCAGCGTCGGGTTCCCCAGAGTGCCACTGGCCCCTTGAGCTGCAAAGGCAAATTGAAAATCTTGAGATTCGTGAATTTTTCAGAATGGCTAATCGCTAAAATTTCAAAGCAACTAAATGGCATAATGCATTTATTGACAGTGTGGCCTTTCTTCCATTCAAATATTTCCTTCAGAAATCTTTTTAGATGTTACCCTCCTCGAGCAGCCTTCCCTGACTGTCCAAGGCAGGTTTAGGTGCTTTTTTATGTGCATTCATTAACACCATGTACTTTGCCTTATACACTATTATAATTGCTTGCTTTTGTGTTTATTCCTCTATCTAAAGTCTTTAAGGGTGAGGACTGTGTCTTTCTTATTGTATCCACAAGGGTCTATGTTACGAAAAAGGCAGCAATTAACATTTATTGGCTAGCTGGCTGGCTGGCTGGCTGGCTGGCTGAATGGATAGACTGATGATTGGCATGTTGGTCTGATAGACTACTTCCAGTTAAGTTCAACAAGACGTTCAATATCTTGCTTCACAGTTTTGTTAGACTTCCCAAAATGCAACACAATAGTTCTGTCCTTTTTCTTGATTTACAAAATGAAAATAAGCTTATTGGTTTCTTTCTGACCATAACAAAGACACTAGAATTTTTAAAGAATATAAAATATAGGGACTTCCCTGGTGGTCCAGTGGCTAAGACTCTGCACTCCCAATGCAGGGGGCCCAGGTTCGATCCCTGGTCAGGGAACTAGATCCCTCATGCCGCAACTAAGAGTTCACATGCTGCAACTAAAGATCCTGCATGCTGCAACTAAGACCTGGTGCAGCCAAATAAATAAATAAATATATACATAACAAAAAAAGAATATAAAATATAAAAATATGTTATAAAGAAGACAAAACAATCTTTCTTTGCAGATAACATGACTCTATACCTAGAAAATTCAAGAGAAACAACTGACGATTAGAAATGATCAGAAAAGTCAATAAAATAAATGGTTAAAGTTAAATATAAAAACTAATTACTGGGCTTCCCTGGTGGCGCAGTGGTTGAGAGTCCGCCTGCCGATGCAGGGGATACGGG